CCCCACCCCACAATAGGTGGGGTTGTTGGGGGTAGGCAGGGTGGGGCGAGGCATTGGGGATGGGGTCAGTGGGTGGCAGGTGAAGACTGTTGTGGTAGGATGGTGGTTAGTGGTGAGGTGGAGTAGGGTGGGGGTGGGGTAGGTAGCGGGGTGGTAGATGTGACGATGATAATGGTGAGATAGTGGTCGGGTGGCTGGGGCCTGGGAGTGCATGGGTATAATGACAACAATAGTGGCATGGTGGTTAGTGGTGGGGTGGGGGTGAGTGGCAGCTGTGATAGCGACAATAATGGTGTGGTGGTGGGGGTTAGGTTAGGGGCGTGACAGTAACGGTAGTAGCATGGTCGTAGCAGGGATGTGCAGCGAGTGACTGAGGGTGGGTGGGTGTGATGACAACAGTAATGGCATGGTGGTTAGTAGTGGGGTAGGGTGGGTGGCGGTGACAGTAGTGATGTGGTGGTGGTAGTGGGGGGTTAGGGGTGGGGCATCACAAACAGTAGTAGCAAGGTCGTTGTAGGTGTTGATGGAATTCAATTCCTTCCATTATGCTAAGGAATGATGAATTCCTTAACTTGTGGAATTCATTGGAATTTGAAGGATTCCATCCATTTCAAGATATTAACCAAACAAAGGAATGGAATTTGGTCAAAGGAATTTATCATTCCAATTCCATCAAATTCCTTCGAATTCCGCGAACCAAACGGCCCCTAATATGTAAGTGTACGAGTTCATATCAGTACCAGTCTGTTATCAGATCAACTCAAAAAAACTCAGACGATCACATTAGTCTTTCATGTGAATTGTAGAATGAGATACATGACTAAGTATGCTTTCATAACTTATAACATGTCACATGCTTTTTAGTTATCTTTAACATGCCAACAATATATTTAATTTATCTGTTGTGTGTATGTATGAAAACAGTATTTTATATTAAGCGTGTACGAAGGAAATCACAGTTTCGCGGTGTCAAGTATCTACGTATCAGATGTTTTCCATCGTCCAAACCAGTTATAAAGTACTCATATATGCATCATATATCTATGACCATGCATAAGTGTTTTAGTATTATTCAACATTTGCATATCATGTAGTGAGAAAATGTTCCAGTTGTATGATATGTATTTTACTAACACAATTACAATATAATTTTAGATCAGTGTATGATATGTATTTTACTAATACGAGGTGGTACTTCTATGTTTTCATTGTTTTTTTTATCGAATATTGTAATATCTGTAATTTGATTTCACTGCTTAGGATTGAGGTTGTTAGTCGTTCACATCGTATGGATCATTTGCAAGTAAATTATACTGGTAAGACCTTTATGGTGAGGAGGCGGCAATATAAGACAGACAGACAGACAAACAGATAAATAACAATAATAATTAAATAATATTGTTAATAATAATATAAAATACTAAAGAGGATTTATGGTACTACTAATTAAAGGAAATATCAGAATAATAAAATTAAACAATATTTGTATATTCCAAATTACCATGTTAGACTTGGAATGATGTGAGACAAGACAAAACTGTTTTTATGAGAAACGATTTTTACACTTGAAACTTCACAGCAAAACACTGTGAAGTAACCTTTACAGTGTTTTTGCTGTGAAGATTCGACTTTTTTTTACCTTCACAACATTTTGTTATGATTTCAAGTATAAAAATTGTGTCTCACGAATACAGTCTTGTCTTACGTGAACCCAACCCTACCATGTTATTTGTGTACATAAGAGAGAGAAAACAAATTCTGATATATCTCAAACCACATTTATTTATTTTAATGATTTAAATATATTAATTAATTAATTAATTAATTTTTTATTAATATTGAATAAATTATCTATACTATGTTATAAAACATTTGACAAAAACTCAAACCACTTTTTATGCGTAACATATTGTTTATTAATGTATATTACTTAAAACTCTACATTGCAAGTATACTGTGCGGAAGTACAACTTATTAAAGCTCCATATATGAATTCGTGTAACTAACTGCAGAGAAACATAATCAAATACAAGATAAATATCTCATTTTTAATATAAAAAATCTAAAATATAATTATGATAATCATTGATAAGTAATAGAATTTAATTAAAGAAATTACATAAAAATGAGAACGTTTAATTAGTAGATTTGATATTAACATTGATATATATTTTTTTTTCAAATTTATATTTATTCAAAAATAAAATTATTATTGCTTTCTTAAAAATACATAAAATCGTATTATAACATCGATAGAGACAAATAATAAAATCGAACATTAAAATCGAGATTTGTCTCGCTACATTGCGTGAGTACTCTCTAGTAAATATTAATAAATACTAATGATTAAATAAGAAACTTTTACTTAAATAATATAAAATAAGTACTAAAATATGGTTAAAAATGAGAAGCATGTTTTTGAAATTTGATGATGCATTAAGCATAGAAACTGGAATATCATGGGTGTGACATGCAAATAAATAAACCATGGTTTTAACGACAAACCGTTGGAAAGGAAAATTTTGACGTTAAGATCAACTATACCATGGAGGCATGGAGGGATGCATGGTTGACAACGCTCTAAATTCGGTCATATGAACATCAAGATCATGATTCCCAATACATTTGCCTTCATTCATCGTTCTTCATGTCAATTTCATCAACTGGGATTTTGAAAAACGAAAAACCCACAAAAGATTACGATTTGAAATCATCGTTGGATACCAAACACCGTATGGATCCATGATGATACGAAGAAGATGGAGTTTATAGTTGAACATTGATATTTATCTCACTTCAAAAGCGGTGATGATCAGCATTCAATAAACGACGATTAGGTAATGTTGTAATTTTTCTACTATTTTGTTTATGTATAATAAATTTGGGAAATTAAAGAAAACCCTAATTCTATGCTTGTTACATGGGCATTGTGCGCAATGGATGGGGATTTTTGAAATTCTTCTATGATATTGATTCTATTTAGGGTTTGTAAGATGAGAATTAAGTTATGGCTTTTGAACGTGCTAATTTGTATTACAATTTGATTGCTAATCTTTGGATTACTGCAAATGGTATGGGATTGTTTGGAATTTGTACAATTTTAAGTAGTTCCTTACTCTCCTTAAATTGCTGAAGTGAGCTTCACTTGTAAAGTTCATCGTTCTAAGCAATTTCTTATATTCATGTTATAATATTTTAATCTTGTGTGTGCTTGATTGAGTGTGGTTTCTAATTGATCTCGTTAGGTGATTGTGATTGACCCTTTATCCAATATGATATCTTTCAGGTGACTGTATAAATATCTGTTGCTTAATAACTAGTTGAAGTGTATATATCATGGATGACGAAAAAGAACGGACAGAAACATCTGGTTCAAAACGTGTTAATAACAGTAACGTTAACAAAGACAGTAACACACATTTGAGTAAGGATGTGGATGCTATGTTGGAGCAGGCATGTTTAGATAGAGATAAAGATTTGGATAAGTTAATGAACCCATATGGTGATGATACGGATGCCTTTGGATTTCCGGTCACAAATGGTGCAGTTGAATTTGAGTCTTCATTAGCTGCTGCTCAAGTAAATCATGATCATATCTCAGGCCATGGGCCAATGGAGGTTCGTTCGCCTTATAGTTATCTCACTGCACACTCACCTTTTGTTAGTTCATCTCCAAGGACTCCAAGGACCCCGAGGACCCCAAGAACCCCTTGGACCCCAAAGCCTAAGCGAATATGCGATGCACAAGATAAGAATGCAGAAATCATTCGTTTAGTGGATTCTGCAATCATGGGACAGCCTGAAAGTATGGGAACTATGAAGGATATTGTGAGTGGTGTAGAGAATTGTGGAGAAGGTTTCGATACGGATACTGTTGCTTTCTTGGTAGTTGATACACTTCTTACCACTATGGGGGGAGTTGACTATTTTGAAGAAGATGAGGATAATAATCCGCCTAGTGTGATGAGAAATTCCAGGGCTGCTGTAATATCAGGTGAGCTTATTCCTTGGCTTCCTTGGTTAACAGACAGTGTTGGTTTCATGTCCCCTAGGACTCGACTGGTTCGTGGATTGCGTACTATACTGCGAGCATGTACAAGGAACAGAGCTATGTGCAGTTCAGCAGGTTTGACAGGGGTTCTTTTGCAGACAGCCGAGAAGATATTTCTTGATGATGCTGGTTCAGCCAAGCAATTGAGGTGGAATGGATCTCCATTATGTTCCTGCCTCCAATATTTAGCTGGACATTCTCTCAGCGTAACTGATCTCAACATGTGGTTTCAGCTAGTTAGAAGAACAATTGACACTTCATGGGCTCCTCGTTTAATGATCTCTTTGGAGAAGGCCCTGAGTGGCAAGGAGGCAAGGGGCCCACAGGCTTCATTTGAGTTCGACGGTGAAAGCTCTGGTTTACTTGGTCCAGGAGAGGGTCGTTGGCCGTTCCCGAATGGGTTTGCTTTTGCAACATGGATCTTTGTTGAGTCGTTTGCCGACACTTTGTATACAGCAACTGCTGCTGCAACAGTAGCGGCAGAAGCAGAAGCTAAATCAGGAAAGTTTTCAGCTATGTCCGCGGCTGCTGCCGCTAGCGCACTTGCAGATGAAGGCAAGGCGAATATGCCCCGGCTCTTTAGCTTCATATCGGCTGATAATCAGGGTATAGAGGCGTATTTTCATGCACAATTTTTGGTTGTTGAAAGTGGTAGCGGAAAGGGGAAGAAGAATTCCGTGCATTTTAGTCATGCATTTAAGCCAAAATGTTGGTATTTTGTTGGTGTGGAGAACACTTCCAAACAAGGCGCACATGGTGAAGTGAGATTGTATATTGATGGAAAATTGCACGAAAGTCATCCTTTTGATCTCCCTCGAATCTCCAAGCCACTTTCATTTTGTTGCATTGGAACGAATCCTCCACCAACCATGGCTAGTTTTCATCAAAATTCTCGTCAATGCCCTTTGTTTGCTGAGATGGGACCTATATATATCTTTAAAGAACCAATCGGTCCAGAGATGATTGCTAGGTTGGCTTCTAGGGGGGCGGATTCAATTCCCTCATTTGGTAATGCTGCAGGGTTGCTGTGGTTGGCAACTAATGCTCACGTGCAAAATATTGAAGAGGAAAGTGCTCGTCTGGATGCAGACATAGGAGGATACCTGCACCTTCTATATCATCCTAGTTTACTAAACGGCCGTCACTGTCCAGATGCTTCTCCTTCCGGTCCTTCAGGTTTTGTTCATTTGTATTATTCTCATGTACTGTTAAATGATATATTCAAAACTTTTTCCTGCTATACCTTTTCCCTAAGATTTCCAATTTATACTGCTTATAGATGTCCTCGGTGACCTCTTTAGCCTTCATACAAGTTGTCTTTTAAATTCTTTCTTCTTCTTTTTGGGTAAATAAGCATTTGAAGACGGTGACAAGAGTAAATGAACTTTCTTTTATCTTCATCTTCTTAGAATTAATTGTTTCTAAAATTGCTATAACCTTCTTAATTGTTAGTAAAGTTGGGGTGCACCTTTCCTATTACAAATTCACATGTGTGCCAGAGATTATAATTGAAATATCTCCTATATATTTATGAAGAGGGAGGTTTATAGGGGCAAACCCCCAAAAAATGGAAAACTGAGGAACACATTGGTAACCGTTCATTTGTACGATATGGACATGTGCATACAAGTAATTGAAGTTGTTTCTTGGTTTCTATGTACGTATGCATGTCATGCACATGTGCATATTTGGACAAATTCCTTATAAATTACTTGTATGAACATGTGCATACTGTCTAGATGAATGGTTACTAGGGTATTCCTCAGTTTTTCACCTTTATGTGGTTTTCCCTTGAACCTAACCCTCTTTATGAAATACCATATAGCCCCCGTGTCCCATGAAAACTACAGGAATTGCCTTTCTGGAAAGTGCCCTTGTTAAATTACCTAACTGATCCACAGGATATTCGTCTTATTTGAGGGTGTTATTAAAAATATGCGAACACTTCTCTTGAACTATGGCTGTAGCAATTATGAGACGGAAGGAGTATTTCTTTTCAAAGGCCTCGATTCTTGTTCAAGAAATATTTACAAGTAGCTGAGATGTGGGTAGCTTTGTATCTGGTGCCTTAAACAGTTGGGGCTGTTTGGTTGGTTTTCCATTAAGTCCAAATGGATAAAACTGTATGTGTGGATTAATCTGTCTGAATAGATCAGGAAGGGTATTTTTGTAGATGGAATGAGTATGTTTCTTTGATTGGGAAGGACAGGTTTGGAAAAAAGCTTGCCTTTCCGCATAAAGCTTCTCCTAGAAGCTTACTGAATAAGTTACTTTCTATATCATTAAGCTACTACCAAACAGTCATGCATAGCTGACCGGATAAGCTGAATCCCATTAAGCTCATTAAGCTGCTAACAAAACACGCCCTTACTCGTTTATGTTTCAGGATTGCTTCAAAGACCTGCTGAGGTTCTTGGGCATGTACCTGTAGCTACAAGGATGCGGCCCGCGGAAGCTTTGTGGGCGTTGGCATACGGAGGTCCAATGTCTTTACTTCCATTTGTAGTAAGCAAGGTTGACCATGATACCTTGGAACCGGAACAAGGCAATCTTAATTTGTGTCTGGCCACAGTTTCTCTTGCCGCTCCAATATTCAGGATCATATCAGTGGCAATCCAACACCTTGGGAACAGCAATGAGTTGTGCCGTGCAAGAGGGCCGGAGGTTTTGTCGAAAATATTAACCCATCTTCTGAAAACTTTATCGTCACCTGATGTTGCCAAGCATACAGTGGCGGATGAGGAAATTGTGGCAGCGGTTGTCAGTTTATGTCAATCTCAGAAGAACAATTGTACACTTAAAATGCAACTTTTCAGTACGTTGTTGCTGGATCTGAAAATTTGGAGCTTATGTAGCTATGGGATACAGAAGAAGCTTTTATCGTCTCTAGCAGATATGGTTTTCACAGAGTCATCTGTACTGCGTGATGCAAAAGCTATCCAAACCCTTCTTGATGGCTGCAGGAGATGTTATTGGACTATTCGTGAAAAAGATTCGATGAATTCATTTTCTTTGAACGGATCACCACGTCCGGTTGGGGAAGTGAACGCTCTAGTTGATGAGCTTCTAGTAGTTATTGAACTTCTTCTGGTGGAAGCTCCTCCTCCAATGGCTGTGAATGATATTCGCTGTTTGCTTGGCTTCTTGGTTGATTGTCCACAACCAAATCAGGTAAGTGGCATACTATGCAATAAATTTGGAAAAGAACATCTCTCTTCTTCTACTTGTTTCCATTACTGTCACCATCATCATCACTTATTTTCCCGTACTTACATGGGCTTTAGATTTCAAATTGGAATTTGTATCCAATAGAGGGAGGTTCAGGGGAAACCCCAAAAAATTGAAAAACTGAGGAACACCTTGGTAACAATTTATCTGGACGGTATGCACATGTGCATACAAGTGATTGATAAGCAATTTCTTGGTTTTTTTGCACGGGTGCATGTTATGCCCATGTGCATACCGGACAAATTGCTTATCAATTACCTGTATGCACATGTGCATACCGTCCAGATGAACAGTTACCAGGGTGTTCCTCAGTTTTTCATTTTTTTGCGGTTTTCCCCTGAACCTGATAAGTATCCAATATACCCCATAATGTAATATAATAACCTAACCACTAAATGGGTTATGATAACAGTATAATTTTCTGAAGATATGCTGAAAAGAACAAATACAAGAGTCTTACTACTATATATCGTTATTGTAAGACTGGAAAGAAATATTGTAAATAATAACTTTCTATATAGAAAACTATTTATGTTACATAATATTTTGCTAGTTTAAAAACCAAAAGGAGTAGGAATGGGCGCTATGAAGGGCTATATCTCAATTAGGGACTAACTAATGGTCAATATTTAAATTTCTAGAAATAAAAGGAAGATCCATTCTATCTTGGAAAGGCCACTAGGATATCTAATTTATTCTGCATAGGTTTCTACACCGAGCATAACTATCCCTACAATGGAAGATAGACGTAATTACGACTAGGCTTACAAACTAAAAGATAACTTTTATCTCTAACAGGGACACCAGGAATTTAAGTCGCGGCTGGTTATTTGATACCTCGTTGCTCATCCATTTTTTTGTATACCCTTCATATAAGTCCTTATAATAGACCTACTAGAGAATATCATACCTTAGCTTTGTATATTGTATGGGGTATGATTACAAAAACTTCTCCGGAAATTCCCTTGGTCATTTGTATTAAAATCAATGGGACTATTACTCACATTCTTATAGTGAATTGTTGTTCTTCAATATTGTTTTCAGTTTTATCTGTGCTTTTCTTATGACCTTGATTCTTGATTATTTTATTCGCGATACATTCTTAAGTTGTCTTCTTCCAGGTCGCGAGGGCATTGCACCTGATATATAGGCTGGTAGTACAACCAAATACTTCTAGAGCTCAGACTTTTGCAGAGGCATTCATATCATGTGGTGGTATAGAAACGCTTCTGGTTCTATTGCAGCGGGAGGCAAAAGCTGGAGATCTTGACTTGCAAGACCTTCAAGACATTGATGACGAAGCTCTATCGGTCTTAGGATCTAAAGCCGAAAGTGGTAGTGGGGTTCTGGAAAGTAATGTTGATGATGTTGGATCCTTGAATGGAAGTGAATGGTCAACTTATGAACCTCAGAGTCGTAATAGTTTCCTTCTTGCATGCACAAGCTCTAGTTTAGGAAGTAGAGCCTCGTATTCTGAGTCTCAACTCCTAAAAAATTTGGGTGGTATAAGATTCTCAATCAGCGCTGAGAATGCAAGAAACAATGTTTATAACATCGACAAAAGTGATGGCATTGTTGTTGCAATAGTTGGCCTCTTTGGGGCTTTAATTATCTTAGGGCATCTAAAATTTGGTTCTATTGCTCCTCCAGATCTTACAGGCAACCTTTATGGCTTGCTTGAGGGTGCAGGTAGTATGTTTGATGATAAAGTTTCTCTTCTACATTTTGCTTTGCAAAAGACTCTGCAAGCAGCACCGAACAGGCTTATGACTGGGAACGTCTACGCAGCTTTATTGGGTGCCTCGGTATGCTTACTATTCCTTGTACTGTTATATCCCAACTATTTTACCAATATTGCAGTTTATTTTTCACATTTTTGTTTCCATTTATAATAATTCTTCATTTGCATTTTCTTACTGATATTGCTTATTGTAGACTTTGGTATAGGACACATATACTGAATGTGTTTGCCATTTATTTTGGTGAAGTTTCATATGGTCGAAGTTGTTAAAGGCTCAAGGCGCACTTAAGTGCATTGGGGTCCTGGGGCCTAGGCACGAGGCGTGGGCCTTAGGAATGCGAGGCGGATCGTATCAAGATAGAAATATGTATACACACACAGTTACACACAACTCAGTTATGCAGCAAGTACGAGCCTCCAATGCAGCAACCAACGGTACTTTGATAGAGGCAGAAGGGATAAGGGTTTAAAGTGTGAGACGTGAAGGAGAAGTTTTAAGGTCCTGGTATCTATAGAGGAGGCTTGAAGTTCTAAGGACTGGGTATTTAATATTAGGGTTTGACTTATCTCATCTATATAGTAACTCTTTCTTTAAGAAGTCTAGGAGATGAGAAAATAAGAAAACTTATTTAATATTAGGGTTTGACTAGTGAGCAACTCTTTATGAGGGGCGCCTAGGCCCCCAAGGCGCAACACCTCAGTGAGCCCCCGTGAATATGCCTAGCCTCGACTTAAAAAAAGATCAAGGCCTTGAGCCTTATGGGCCTTAGAGCCTAGGCGCGCTTTTAACAACTATGCATATGGTTACTTCTTAATCGACCTCCAAAAACTGTTGAAGAGATAGTGGGATGCTGATAGTCATAGCCAACTTCCAGGACAATTGCTGCCAAATATTTTCTCTCATTTTGACTAAGATCAAAGATTCGTTGCTTCCAAATTACACGTCTTGTTTTCTCTTGTTACTAGTCATGTATGCAGTTTTTCATTTATGTGATAATAGTTGCGGAAAATGAGAATCAACATGGAAGGCCCGTCATACAATCTCAAACCCATTTGTTAGCCAAAATCTAAGCTTATGGGAAACGAGTTTATCAAAGTATATTAGGGTTTTTCTTTTTCTAAATACTTCCATAACTGATAAGGTACTATACATTTGTACATGTTGGGGTAATCTCCCCAATGGGTGAGTAATCCACATTCACCAAGCTGATACTCCCCCTCAAACCACAAATCTGCAAGCTTTTCCGCATTGAACCATTCTTACCCCTACAAGTCAAATAATGTAAGTTTGGTGAATGGGGATTTGAATATTCTATTATGCCAAGAACGGCTCTTTAATAAGTTACAAGATGACAAATTATTCAACTAAGAATGCATAAAAGGAGTGTTATTGTGCTGACTCAGATCCTAATTTTGAACTTAAGATAGTGCAAGAGGGGAAGGAAATGATTGGTGAGCTACTCTAACAAATACTTATTGTTATACTGTTTGTTCCCTGCAGCCACTTCATTTGTTCTCAAGAACCAAAATTTTCCAATTAAAGATCGAGATAGAAATCATCAAAGATGTTGTGCAGGGTTTAAAAGTCCTCTTGCTGGAGCTGTAACCGGAATTGAAATGATAATCAATTTATTGATCCATTCAGCATGAATCTAGAACTGAAAAAGTTTCTGTTTGATGCATGTTAAGTTTGTCACCAGTCATCAGTTAAACAAAACATTTGACCACATAGGCAACTTGCTGAGAATATTGGTTCCCTGTTGAAGCAGATTTTAATTCGATATCATCCATTAAGCATGAGATGACGTTTTTGTGTATTAAGAACCTTTTCCGTGTTTTCAGTATGATCTATTTTTTCCCTTTTCAGTTAAATACATCAACAACAGATGAGGAAATGAACTTCTATGATCCACGGCATCGCTTTGAGCATTTAGAGCTCTTGTTAGTTCTTTTGCGTTCACTGCCATATGCGACAAAGAGTTTTCAAACTCGAGCATTACAGGTACTACTTTCACTCCCTTCATTCAGGAGTATGGCATACTTTGTATTTTAGTTCTGGTTGCATGAAGTTATTGAAAGTGATGAAAATTGAATTTGCTTTCTTAACATAAAGGTTAAACAAATAGAAACTTGTAACAACATGCATATCATACCTTTTCATCACTCATTTAATTCATAGTCTCCTTTCAGCTTCTTTCTTAACTCTTTGCTTCTTCATAGTTTGTTTCCCTTTTCTTCTCTCACTCTTCTGTTCAGTGTCACATATTCTTATCCTGTCTCCTATTTATCAATTTTGTTTGATGTTCTTAGTGTTTCCACTAAATAATCTATTGATAGGAAGCAAATGATTTTGAATAACTTTGTCTTGATTACTGTTTCAGGTTTCTACCATCATCCATGATTTTTTTTCACCTTTATATATTTACTTCTTTTGATTTCAGGATCTTCTGATTTTGGCTTGCAGTCATCCAGAAAATAGAAGCAGACTCACAAAGATGGAGGAATGGCCAGATTGGCTCTTGGAAATTCTCATATCTAATCATGAGGTGATACCTTCTCCTCTTGAACTGAGCACAAAGCCTGTGCACAAAAGGGTGACTTTGGAAGATTAATCCTTCAGCACCTAATTTCAAACAATTCCCTTTTGGGATGTCGAAATAAATGCAACATTTTTCTTTTTGGCAAAGTTTCAATCCAAAGTTTCATCTTTGCCCATTAGTGTTCTTTTTCTTCTGAAATAGCAAATCACATCTTTGCCTCTTAGCTATCATCAGAAAATAGGTCCTCAAGATTCTTATATTTCATTCTTTCTGTGGGTTATTTTAGATATTTCACCAATAGTCTAACACTTCCATTAACCTTTATGCCTAGTCAGACATAGCATTTATTTTGGGATCGCGGGAGTTCCTCTTACATCCTTTAAATGTATTACTTATTCCTACAGATGGGTGCAATGAATGCTTCAATGTCTTCAAGCATAAGAGATGTTGAAGACCTTGTACACAATTTTCTTGTTATCATGTTAGAGCATTCAATGCGTGAGAAGGACGGATGGAAGGTTGTATTCCATTTACTCTCCTCCCCCATAAACTTTCTCATTATTTCTTCTGATGTAGCTAATCTTTATGCCTTTCATATACCTTATCCTTTCCATTTTTAGTATCACAAGAGTCCTGTCTTTGCCTATTAACTCTTAAACTTTTGGATTTTGCTGAACTGAAGCTTCCGAAGATTTGGGACTCCTAGTGTGTTGAATTATTCCCACTAGCTTGGACAAACAAAAACTATACGCACTAAAATCTTACAAGTAAACACTTTCAAGTGATCGATGACAGTGAGCAATGCTTCATCATCTATAAGTAACTAACGTTGTGTTCTCGAAACCTTTTTTACGAAGGAAGAAAAGGAAAGGGAGGGAAATGGGGGGAAGTAAAAAAACACGTGTTCTCTAAACTTCTTTTAGGAGAGAAAGGGAAGGAAACAAAAGGAAAATAATCACAAGTTCCCTCCCAAAACTTTCCTTCCACATGTGGAAGGAAAGGGAAGGAAAGGAAAGGAATTAAAACCCTTTAAAAAGATTATTTAAATTATAAAACTACCCAACTTTTTATTATAAAGAACATATTTTTAAAAGGTATTCTAGTTTAGTTTTATGTATTTTTTGGTATGCAAACCCAGAGGAAACTTTTTCATTGCTAGCTATAAATCACTACACCTTTCTCCATATATAGACAACTAATGTTGGTTTACTATGGATACAGTTTTTGAACATTGCTAGAAACAAGATGTGTAGATAAACAAATGTTTTGAATGAGCAAAACCGATTTACTACTGTTCATAAAACTAGATGCAAGTAATTTGCAAAAAATTACAAATCCAATTTTCGTATTTGGCTGCAAGAGTTTCAGTGGGTTGTCACCTTTTCCTTTTTGCAAATCAACCACTTAAGCTTGGTATTTCTCAATTCCTTTTATTAATCTGTTATTCAACATGTAAGTCTGGATGATGTTTAACTATCTTATAAGTTATAGTTCGGCTATGGTAATGTTCATACTTGTCCATATATGTTAGTTTTTTGGCCAACTGACTGACAATAGCTAGTTGGTTTATGAGCAGCCTCATGTTTTATGCTTTATTCGTGTAGTACTATCACTTTCAGAATATTAAAAGAAATGCAAAAATTATGTTAATATGTAAAGCAGCACAATTCACATAGATTAAAACTCACGTTCGCTGATAAATGCACTGGCTGATGTGTAAAGTGAAAAGGGAAGTTTGCTAATTGGATTGGTCTCAACTCCTAAGTGACCTTTGTAGAGTTTCATGCCTTTTGAAAGAAATCTTCTTCTCAGATAATACTAAATTGAATTTTAGGATAATTGTCACCGTGTACTAAGGTCCCGTTTGGTTTGCCGGATTGGATTGGATTTGGAGCGATTCGGATTTGAATTCCATTCCAATCCCATGTTTGGTTTGAAGGATTTCTCGGATTTGAAATCCCACAAACATAGGATTTTGTAATCCCACGGGGGTGGTTGGTATTTCACATGATTTTGTAGGATTTGTATGTAATAATGTTTTAAAATATGTTAAAAACAATTGTTTGTAATAATCAATTAATAAAAAGGTAATTTAATTATTTTTATAATTATTTATAATTTGTTTTTATGAATTATATATAAAGAATGGAATTCAATTCCGTTTCAAATCCTACAAACCAATTACACCAAAGATACGAAATCCTTCCAAGTCCAATTCCCTTCAATTCCAAATCCTTCCACGAAATCCAAATCTCTCAAATCCATTCCATCAAACCAAACGCCTCCTAAGAGTTTTGTTTCTGGTAGTATATGATATGGTTGCTATTTAAATTCAGTGTTTGAAGCAATGCTACCTTGAACAACACACTTTTTAGTTATGTCAATCTATTGGAAACTAGAGGATAATACATTCTATGAACTTTAGAATCAAGGGAATCAGCACATATGTTCATTATGTGGAGGTAATGCGTCATGCCTAAAATCACATATTGCAAACAGTGTCAACCTGGTTTGTTGCAGTTTATCTAACCATGCAACTTATTGATGAAATGTTGTTAAATTTTTTAAGCACAGGCTATTGATTTGCGCTAAAACATCATGTTTTTGTTTACTTTCATCATCTTTGATGCATCTGTGGGTCAATTTCAAGCATCATCAGTTCATTTATATTGTTTGGTCATACTTTCCCTTGACAGGATATTGAAGCTACAATTCATTGTGCAGAATGGCTTTCGATGATAGGGGGATCTAGCACGGGAGAGCAGCGGGCCAGGTACATTGTTCTCTAGAAAGGCATCGTGACTTGAATAATAAAGAGTATTATAACCCTACTCAGGTTTAGATTACTCGAGAATAGTTATGTCAGAAAAAGAAACAGTAAGATTTTAAAATGTGTACCAGAAGAAAATGGACCAACTCTTAAAAATGCAAAATTATCCTAGAAAGCATAGTGGCATAGGTGAAGCATATTGTGTTTCCATATCTAATACAATGATTATAATTTTTGGCATGATCCAAATCATAGTATCACAATCCATAATAGTCTCCTGGTAGAAACAAATTGTTTTCCTTGTTTAAGAGTTATTGTTTCTTCATCTTAATTATCTTTTCCAATTGTTGACCATGGTGGTGTTTGATTTTCTTTTGCTAGGCGTGAGAAATCATTGCCTATCTTTAAAAGAAGGCTTTTTGGTGAGTTGCTGGACTTCATTGCCAGAGAGCTGCGAGTTCAGGTGAATCTTCCAGTCCCCAGTCCTGGATTTTTTTACCATACTATTTAAGTTTCTACAGTTTTCCCCCTTTCTTTGCTTATGAACAATTGTGAGAGGTGACTGAACCTGCTGCTGATTGGACAAGACTTGAATGCAATACTAGGGGTGTATGCAGGTTGGGTTGGGCGGTTTACGGCTTTTTTACAAACCAACCCAATTATGGCGGTTTAGAAAATCTCAACCCAACTCAACCCTTTCAAAAGTATAACCCAACCCAACCCTTGCGGGTTGAGGCGGGTTAGTAGTTATTACATAAATTTGACGAATGAAATATTTCATGACTTAAGTTTATAGGTGCAAACTATAAAGTATCCTATCTAAAAAAGTTACAATAGGTTTATAGGATGCTTTTGGGCGTTTCAAACATAAACTCAACAAACATTAAATAAAATTTTACACGTTATTAATATGTGATAAACATTATTACTATATATAAAATAGACTAGTATATTATATATACATATAAATAGAACTTTATCGAAGTTATATATATATTAGCAGTGGGTTGGCAGGTTGGGTTGGGTTGAGCTAGGCCAACCCAATTTCAACCCTCCTAATTGGCGATTTGGCAGGTTGGCGTTTTAGCAGGTTGAGTTTAATTGGGTTGTTAGCATGGTGGGTTGGGAGGGTTGGGCAGTTTGTCGGTTTCTTGTACACCTTATGCTATACCATAGGTGGAGAGAGATCTTTGGTTGCTGACAAGTAACTACGTACATGCATGTGGCAAGAAGTTATCTTATTTTTCATCCTTATTTTTTGTTACCTCTTTATTTGTTTTGGAAAGAACTTTTGGCAAACACAGAAATACTGAGAACCACAGTATGCTACATGAAACGTCTTTTCTTTTTTGCTGCAGACTCAAGTAATTGCTGCAGCATCTGCTGGTGTTGCATCCTATGGATTACCACCTGAAATCTCTAAGGCAGAAATAGAGAATGCTGCCCAGCTTTCTGTGGCTTTGGTTGAGAACGGAATTGTGATGTTAATGCTTGTTGAAGATCATTTGCGCTTGCAAAGCAAACTATTTAGCTCTACCCGCACTCAAGCTGGTTCTGCTTCTCCTCTTTCAGCTGTCCTACATGTGGGTAACTCTACAAATCCCTCTGCAATCACAAAACCGTTGGAAGGAGGGGATTCATCTAAGGACTCTGAAGGACTTCCTTTTGATGTACGTTTTAAGTTGTTCCAGTGCATGCATCAAGAAACTCTCTATCATTGTTAACTTGTTCCTTTTGTCGAGCTGCCATAGTTAATATAATTCATTGCCTTTGAGTGATAAAGTTTTATTGTTATATTCATCAGGTTCTTGCTTCTATGGCTGATGGTAAGGGGGAAATTTCGGCATCCGTAATGGAACGTCTTACAGCTGCAGCGGCAGCTGAACCTTATGACTCTGTTTCTTGTGCTTTTGTGTCATATGGAAGTTGTGTGAAGGATTTAGCCGATGGATGGAAATATAGAAGCCGGCTGTGGTATGGGGTTGGTCAACCTTCAAATGCAGCTGACTTTGGTGGTGGTGGCAGTGGCTGGGACTCCTGGAAATCTTGTTTGGAGAAAGATTCGAATGGTAACTGGGTTGAAATTCCGTTAATAAAGAAATGTGTCTCCATGCTACAAGCTTTGTTGTTAGATGAATCTGGACTTAGTGGGGGGCTTGGTATCAGTGGAGGTACTGGTACAGGGATGGGAGGTATGGCGGCTCTTTATCAATTGTTAGATAGTGACCAACCCTTTTTATGCATGCTTCGTATGGCACTTCTTTCTCTGAGGGAAGATGATGATGGTGGAAATGGCATGCTTATGAAAAATGCTAATCTTGATGATGGGTTGGCTGAAAGATCACATGGAGAAGATGGAAGTGCTCCGTCATCCTTAGAAAGCAGTCCTTGGACATCAACGCAGCAGCCCCGTTCAGCATTATTATGGAGGTATACTTCCACTAACATTCTTCTTTTTCTGCTATTTGATCTGAAATCTCTTATCAGGATGGTGGAAAGTATGATATCTGGGTCGCTTTTTTAGTCTGCAAGATTGCAACTATTCACGGAAATGTTACTGAATCGTTATTGAGGAAGAACCCTTTCACATTTATCTCCACGAGGTGGGCTTGCAGGTCTAAAATCACAAAAAGGAAAAAATATTAGAAACCATATTCAGCGGTTACATAATGATACTACGAAAATAATGATTTTGTAACATCCAAGGCCAACCGTACCAGATATTGTCTGCTTTATCCGCACGCCTGGACTCACGGTTTTAAAACGAGTCTGGTAGAGGAGGTATCCAATCCCTTATAAGGCAACCTTAGTTCCTCTATCTAACCAATGTGGGATCTTACAGATTCCAAGCGCATGCCTAATATGGTATCAAAATAGATATGAGTAACTTTAGATCAGCATTATTAAATCTGAGACTGTTCTATCATTTTATTTCCTAGCAGCTATGGGGGTCTTGGTGTAAAGCTGGAGAAGGGGAGGGGGGGGGGTAATTGCATGGCAGTTTGGCACTTCATTCTTGTTGGAGTCCCATATCGGCTAGACTTGGACCATTTCTTCTGTATATCTGTTGGAACCTTTCCTTTCTCCTCAAGGGATCGTTTGGAGAATGATATGGGGGTTTCACATATTCTATCAATTATTATAACTAGGTGCAACTAACTTTTTCATCTATGATGAACAGTGTGCTTGCGCCTATCCTGAAGATGCCAGTTTCTGAGCCCAAGCGACAGAGAGTGTTGGTCGCGTCATGCGTTTTATATTCGGAGGTTTGTTTTAGACGGACTGACATTTTTTAAAAAACCCTTAAATATTTTACATGATATATTTCCCGGTATTATCTCTGCTATGCAACTACTTGTATTCTTGAAGCTGAGGTTTTCACTTGCTTCATGCTTAATGATTACTTCATTGAGAAAGTATTCTTGTTTAGTTATTTAACGTAAGGCATATGCAGGTGTGGCATGCTGTCAGCCAGGACAGAGCCCCTCTTCGGAAACAGTATCTAGAGGCTATTGTGCCACCACTTGTAGCTGTTCTAAGGAGGTGGCGCCCTCTTTTGGCCGGAATCTATGAATTTGCTACCCAAGATGGTTTAAATCCTCTTGCTGTTGATGACCCAGCCCTAGATGCTGATGCAACGCCTATAGAGGTTGAACTAGTTTCCTCTACTCTCCTCTCTTATTACTTCACTGGACTACGAGTTTCTATTATTTGTTCTTATGCTACTTTGAGTTGGGTTTTGTCATATTTATATCATGAAGTTTTTAACTACTTAGGACTTGAGAGCAACCCTAGTGCACCAACTTCCCCTGATGTTTTTGAGCATCACTTCCCGTTTTGCAAAAATATTAATCCTGCAACTTGAACCCATGACTGTCCTATCATAGTAACATTAGCAGTTGCTCCAATCAAGCTCCGTTCACTCTTCCCTTCCTCTTTATGTTGGTAGTTATTCATTACAAGGAAAACTAGTAAGTGGTTGTTGAAGCTGGGAGCATTCTACCATGATGTAAAATACCAATTAGTGACTTTGTGGGGGTATATATGATCTTTTGCTTTTGGTCTCTTAAAACCCAGCCAAACCAGGGTCCCCCCTCCGCTACTCTCCCTCTCTTTTGCCAATATTTTGTGTTTCTTGTGTTATGAAACTTAAATGTTCTATTTCTTGTACTTTCCTCTTGCCAATAGTAAAGAAAGGTTATTACTTTTGTTGGCTTTGCTTCAGTTTTAAAGCCTTATGTGCATGCATGTAATTAACAGCCTCACTGCCTTAGCTCCTTGGTGGGGGTACTAGTTTCTTAGCAAAATATAGACTTCAGCTTAGGGCCTGTTTGCTAGAAACTTAATGAGCTTAACGGGACTCGCATGTTATTCAGTCAGCTATACATGACTGTTTGGTAGTGGCTTAATGATATAGAAAGTGGCTTATTTAGTAAGCTTCTAGGGGGAGCTTTATGCAAAAAGCTAAATTTCTTCAAACCTGCCCCTTCCAATTAAAATCCATGCTCCTTCCATTTATGAAAACCCCCTTCCAAACAAAAACCTTTCCAATCTATACAGATAGATTAATCCACATAGACAACTTTATCCATACTGGAGCTAATGGAAAACCAACCAAACGGCCCCTTAGTTACCTTCACGATTTCATTAAATGCATGTTCCATGTTAGTGACGCGTAACTCTTCTCTACATGTCTTACCTTTCCGTTAGGTTCTTTGTTCATAATTGTTCACTTAATTTCTACCAAAGCATCACATCTGTCATCCATATTGGTATACCATAATCTTCTATTATTGGTGCTGCTTAAAGATTGTTGGATGCTACAAAAATCCTAATCCTAGTTCATTTTGGTTTCCCTTATAGTTTATCTTTATCCTTATGATATTATACTTGTTTATCTTATCATATTTCTGATGTATATACACAAAGGGAGTTTTGTCTATAATAATAAGAAACAATTATTCACTGAGGTCCCGTTTGGTTTGAAGGATGGGATTGGATTTGGAATTGAATTCCATTCCAATCTCATGTCTGGTCTGAAAGGATTTCCCGGATTTGAAATTCCGAGATTTCATTGAAAATCCCACAAACATAGGATTTTGAAATCCCACGAGGGTGGTTGGTATTTTACGGGATTTCGTAGGATTGTTATGTAATAATATTTAAAAATATGTTAAAACCTTTTTTTTGTAGTAATCAATTAATAAAAAGGTAATTTAATTATTTATGATTTGTTTTTATAAATTATTTATAAAGAATGGATTTCATCTTGATATCCGAATCATACGAACCAAACACACCGAAGATTCCAAATCCTTCCAAATCCAAATCCTTCTAATTCCAAATCCTTCCACGAAATCCAAATCCTCGGAACCATTCCATCAAACCAAACGCCTATATTTTATATAATGGCATCAGAGCCTGGTTATAAACTGTAAAACATCAGCTGAAAAAACAACTAGGATTGGGACTCTTTTACAATTTAGCGAAAAGATCTCTTCCCATGCCTCGCATTTTCTCTTTGGTCCTTATTGCCAAACATCTGACATGTCTAATTATTGCGACTAGAGTGCCCTTGCTATGATCACTCCTGCCTGGGCTGCTTCTTTTGCATCTCCACCTGCTGCAATGGCATTGGCCATGATTGCCGCAGGTGCTGCTGGAGCGGAGACCGCCACCCCTGCTCCTGCAATAAATGTTCATCTAAAGCGTGACTCTTCTACTTTGCATGAGAGAAAAACAGCTAAACTTCATACGTTTTCAAGCTTTCAAGAACCCTTAGCGGTACCCAAGAAATCATCAGCTGTTTTAAAGGACAAAGCTGCTGCAAGAGCAGCTGCTTTGGCTGCTGCTCGTGATATCGAACGAAATGCTAAAATTGGTTCTGGAAGAGGTTTAACGGCTGTGGCAATGGCTACATCTGGACAGCGTCGGAGTAAAAGCGATATGGAACGTGTAATGAGATGGAATGTTTCTGAAGCAATGGGAACTGCCTGGATGGAATGCTTGCAGTCGGTGGATACAAAATCTGTCTACGGGAAAGACTTCAACGCACTGTCGTATAAATTTGTTGCTCTCCTTGTTGGGAGTTTAGCTTTTGCTAGAAACATGCAACGATCAGAGGTATTGTTGTGCCTGTTCTTTCTTCCTTGTTTGTTTTCAAATTCAAATGGAAGTCCTAAATTCAATTTTTCATATTTTCAGGTCGATAGACATGCCCGAGTTGATTTTATTGCTCGGCATCGTCTATGTACTGGTATACGTGCCTGGCGGAAACTCATCCGTTATCTGATCGAGACTGAAAGTCGTTTTGGATTATTAACTGAAAATCTTTGCACTCCTGAACGAGTATGCTACTGTTCTTGACCATGTTCCCAGTCTTTTTGTGAATATAGGTTTTACGGGTCAGGTTCAGGGGAAAACGGCAAAAAAATGAAAACTGAGGAACACCCTGGTAACAGTTCATCTGGACAGTATGCACATGTTCATTCAAGTAATTTGTAAGCAATTTGTCCGGTATGCACACGTGCATAAAAACCAAGAAACAACTTCGGTTACTTGTATGCACATGTGCATACCGTCCAAATGAACGGTTACCAAGGTGTTCCTCAGCTTTTCATTTTTTTGGGGGGTTTTCCCTTTAGCCTCTCTCTAGGTTTTAAATATCTGAAAAAGAACTTTCAATGCTAGGTTTTCTGGAAGATAGAATGCTTGGAGAGCTCTACAAGGATGCGTAGATGTTTAAAGAGGGACTTTAAAGGATCAGATCATGCTGGTGCTGCTGCAAATTGTGAAGACCCTAAGGAGCTGGAACGTGATAAAGAGAATGCAACTTGTCCTTCTAATTCAATTTTGGCTACAGAAGCTATTTCGAGACTACTAGTAAACATGGAGGATGAGCAAGATGCAGTTGTTAACATAGAGGGAAACACGGATGAGATGTGGCTGTATGAGGATATTCAGACAAGGCCATCTGGGACTCCAGAGCAGCAGTTGCAGGTGCCAATGGATTCTACAGAACCTCAAGTTACGAATTACCAAGACTTAGGACAGAGTACATCAACAGCTGGCCCTGGATACAGTCCCGGTGAACATTATGAAATAATTATTCTTGAGCTTCCAGCATCGATGGTCCGACCACTAGAAGTTCGACAAGGAACATTTCAGGTAATGTTCAAGAATTTATGATATTTTTAACCATCCTCTGTCTTTGTTCCTAAATTATCTTTCACATTTAAATAGGTTTATATATAGAGAGAGGGAGGTTCAGGGGTAAACCCCCAAAAAATAAAAACTGAGGAACACCCTGGTAACCACTCATTTATGCACATGTGCATACAAGTAATTGAAGTTGTTTCTGGTTTTTATACAAATGTGCATGACATACCAGACAAATTGCTTACAAATTACTAGTATGCACATGTGCATACCGTCCATATGAACGTTTACCAGGGTGTTCCTCAGTTTTTTATTTTTTTTGCAGTTTTCCCTGTGAACCTGACCCTATATATTATAAGATCAGTTGGTCTTATATTAAGTGTTGCATCCGTTCCATCAAAATTGAAATTTTTAACTTGAAACATAGTTAAGAAAATTGACTTCTGACACATATCTATAATACTCATTCAATAAAGGGACATCAAAATTGAAATTTTTAACTTGAAACATAGTTAAGAAAATTGACTTCTGACACATATCTATAATACTCATTAAATAAAGGGAAAGTAGAGAAATTTTGTGGACCAAGATTAGTATAGTCTATTTGTTTGTAAAGTTGATGATGTCCGATACATTGTGTCAAATTGGGAACTTCTAAAAAGGAAATGCTGCAATTGGCAATAAGTAATATTAAATTGGAAACTTTCTGAAAAGGAAATGTCGTAATTTTATTGGACATCTCAAAAAAGAAACTCTTGGAATTTTCATGAGATGGAAGGACTACTAAATAAACTGAAACCAGCAGACAGTGTTACCTTTTAATCTGTAGCATTAAATTGAAAAAAGTACTTGACTTTTTGAATGACACTAGTTTTGAAGCATCCTTTTGAATGACACTAGTTTTGAAGCATCCTAAAAATGGAAAGTTGGATAATAATTGAGTATTGGTGGGAATTAATATGTGTATGTTTTGTACAATATTTTTCGTATATGATTAGTTAGCATTTAGGAGTTAGGACTCATGCACAAAATAGTTTTAGACGATTTCTAAAATGGAAAGAGGAGAACTTAGATCACTAACCTGTTACAGTTGATGGTTGATGCTATAAAAATATATTGCATCTTTCCTGTAATTACTTTTTTCAAATTATTTGATGTAGTCCTAATCGTATGTATGTGCATTGTTTCTTCCCAGATAACTACCAGGAGACTTAACTTTCTGGTTGATAAGTCTGAGGGAAAAGTCGAAGATAAAGTTGAAGATAAGGACCGGAGCTGGTTGATGTCTTCACTTCATCAATTACACAGCAGGAGGTCAGATAAATAGATTGCCGTTTTTCAAAGTTTAGAACTAACTCAGTTTGGATATGGCCATATAGTTTTTGTTCTAGGACCTTGTTTCCTACTAAATTTTTCTAAAGGGGAAGAGGCTTAGCTCAATAGTAAGGTCTACCATTGCCTAGATTTCCTACTAAGTTTTGTTTGAAGTACTTGTTCTCTATGGGATCTTCGGTGGTCAGACTAATGATGGAAGTAAGATCTATTCTCCGGTCTTATGAAAATTGAAACATGTGATTATGCACACAGTTTAAGTGTTTGGCTATTAGTTAAATGTCTAAAATACCCCAACAACAAAAAAGGAAAATCTTGTTGATCTAAATCAATATTAACAACATTTTCATAACAATGACAGGAAATTAGATAACTATGACCTACTTAAATAGGTTGAAAACCCTCCAAAAATGGAAATGCAGCAGTTTTTGTGGGACATCCCAAAATGGAAGGCATTGCAATTGCCATGGGATTCAGGGAGTATTAGGATTTCACTCCTAGTAGTCCATGCACTTCCTCTTTTGCTTATTCTCTCCATGAAAGCCCAAGATAAACTTGGTAATTATGTATATATATATCGATTACAATCAGGGATATATATAAGAGATATATTTACACTCTAGACCCTCTAATATAATTATATATATATATATATCACACTTAATTGTCTAATATTCCCCCGCAAGYTAAGGCCGGGGAGCGACCTGTAGCTTGGACCGTAATAGGAGAAACCGTTGTGAAGGTAGCGGCTTGGTAAAC